CATTTTGCTCCAGTTTGACATTTGTCTAATGAGGCAGGCAATCTCTCAATTGGAGAGTGATGGTTTGCAATCGGCGGAGAGGGGGGAGGACAAAAAAAAAAGGAATTTGAGCTGTGGTGGTTTATCAAGGCAGTGTGTGATCAGAACCTCAGAATTTGTTCACTGGGGGAGTGTGACATAGGAAATAGAGCATAGGTAACAGAGTGATGTCTGACACTCTGGGTTAGTTTGGTTGAGCTGCTCAGAACCTTCTAGGTCTTCAGGTGGATGATACCATCTACATTACAGTTGGCCGGAATGAAATCAAGTTAGCTGTACAGAGTGAAGAACTTGGAGAAGTTGTCTCTTGGATGATATCTCCAATATCTCTGGTGAAAATCTTGAGAGTTTATATGAAATGTTGGTGTGGCTTTAGACCATTGTTAGGCTGAATTAGTACTGCAAAGACAGGACTACAGAGGTTACATGAATATTGACTTCCTGGACAGCTTTCACCTCAAGGCCCAATGGATGGATAGAAGAAAACTAGAGTAGGGGATATTTGCACATTCCTAATTCAGATAGCAATATCTCTTAGACTTATATACTACTTCACAGTGCTTTACAGACATCTCTAAGCAGTTTACAGAGTAAGCATATTGCCCCCAACAATTTGGGTCTTCATTTTATTGACCATGGAAGGATGGAAGGCTGAGCCAACCTTCAAACTGCCAAATTGCAGGCAGCCGACAGTCAGTAGAAGTAGTCTGTAGTACTGCACTCTAACCATTGTGCCACCATCAACAATCTTTAATTTGCTTATTATAGCAATACTCTTTCCTGTATCAGGCTCTTGAGAAAGGATTACATTGCTGAACTACATCAGGCAGCAACATAATTATTTTCATTGGCATTTGGGATCCCTCCCTTGTTCGTTCTCTATGTCTCTATGCTTGACATCCTCTCTCATTGCCTATCCTAAAGGGGGTCATCAACCAACAACTCACCTACCCATGCTCCAAAGCACCTTTTCATTTACTTCAAAATAACGTGCAACCTAATAATTATTATCTTCCATTAAGTGTCTAAATTTACCCACCTACCTTCCATCGAGGACCTGTATACTGCACGAGTCAAAAAGAGGGCTGTGAAAATATTTACAGACCACTCACATCCTGGACATAAACTGTTTCAACTCCTTCCCTCAAAATAATGCTATAGAGCACTGCACACCAGAACAACTAGATACAAGAACAGTTTTTTCCCCAAATGCCATCACTCTGCTAAACAAATAATTCCCTCAACACTGTTCAACTATTTACGAAGTGTGCACTACTATAACTGTTAATCTTCTCATCACTCCTTATCACCCATCCCCTCCCACTTGTGATTGTAGGACTATAACTTTGTTGCTTGTATCTTTACAATTTATATTGACTGTTTCCTAGTATGATTTGATTGTTGATTGTACCCTATGACTGTCATTAAGTGTTGTATGTTATGATTCTTGATTCTTAATGAATGTATCTTTTATTTATGAATACCGAGAGTATTTACACCAAGACAAATTCCTTGTGTGTCCAATCACACTTGGCCAATAAAGTATTCTATTCTATTCTATTCTATTCTATTCTATTCTATTCTATTCCATTCTATATGGATATTCGTTATATATAAATATTTATAACAAATATCCTTATGCACATATATATGTGTGTGTGTGTGTGTGTGTGTGTGTGTGTGTGTGTGTGTGCGTGTGCATGTGTGCCATACAGTAAGGGATGGCTTGCTCAAGTAAAGATTTTTTAAAATTTTATTTTCAAATTTCCACCACAAGTAATTAGGGCCTATGGCAAAAAGTGTCCTTTTCTTGATTGCATGGAGAAGACACAGGACAGATATAAAAAGGAGAAAATGAAAACATGATCGGTGGTTATGGCAGCTAAATTACTATTTCTTGCAGATGCCAACTAAATTTTAAAAAATTCAGATTATTACCAACCCTAGCCTAAAGTACTGTATACAGGCTTTCTGAAGTAACCAGCACCAATCTAGAACTACCCAGGTTGAATAGACTGGACAGATTTCCAGTCTAAAGTTACATTAAAACATGTAACTTTACTAAAACAAATTAAATGCTACTTAAGTGTTATGTAAATACTACCTACCTACTTACTTTAAGCATTACATAAAGCCCACATACCAGTACTCTCTCTCAGTCCAAGGGCATAAATGCTTCAGAAAATCTTGCCAAGAAAACTACAAGAATTTGTCCAATCAGTTACCAGGGGTCAAAACTCCTTTGAAGGCAGTTACTTATAATACCTGAATAGAGTTCCAATTTTCAGAATTTCTGAAATAATGACAATAAAGATTATTTCTGTAAGTCCAGTGTATAACATCTGTGTATAGGCATAGTTTCTCTTTAACTAATATGTTAGGGTTTGTTAGCATGATTGGCTTGACTCTTTCCTAGTGTGTGCACCTGTGCATGGGTGTATACAAATTATAGGATATTTGGATATAATGTTATAAGCATTATCATAGTCCATAATTTAGCAACATGGAACCATATAGCTTCATAAAGTCCAGGAACTACCCACCTGTGTTTGTGGCTCTTGCATCTCTGCAGCTACAATTTCTAAAAAAAATGTTTCAATCTTAATCAAGAAGTACACAAATACTGTATGTAGTAGAATGTTTGAATGATTTTTTTTTAAATGAAACTCCCTGAAATTCGTAGGGGGAAAAAAGAGATACAGACTCATTTCTTTTTGCACCAGTTCCTTGACACTGTATTTTTATTTATATATTATTAATCTTCTATGCCTCCCATCTCATCAAGTTTTTGTTACTTTTCCCTTTCCTTCACAATTAAACATGGTCTCTAGCCAGCAAAACATTGCTCAGACTTACCCAAATCATATATGCATAATATGCCAATCAAGTGAAAATACATTTTACAAAAGTAGAGAAAGATACATAGGGACACACAGTCCACAAAATAAATTTTCTCAAGACCACATAATAGCCAATGTTCTGATTTCAGTATAGTGAAAAATTGTTAAGAACAAAAAATCCAGGTGGATTCAGTTATAATGGGATGGGAGCCAATCTGCTACTGATATAATTGCAGCAGTAAAGTAAATTGAAAATTCAAATTTATTTATTTTTATTAATCTATTGTGCTTTTATGCAAACAAATGTGGAATGAATCTTACAGAGATTAGCTTTTAAGAAAGCAATATGTAGCACTTCATCTATTTGATAATAAATTAAATCAGACTTGCTGAATTTGGGAATCTTCCATTGGATACATTTCTGGACATCTATCCAAAATTCTTCTGCAAAAAGATGCATTCTTATTGTCAAGAATGCAAATATAAGTCTGTTAGTAAGATCTTCTGACAAAGTCCTCCAAACAACAGGGAAAACAAATCATATACCATCCTGAGTTCTGAAAGCATACGTAGAGATGGATCTGAAAAACATTTATACAGTTGGATACAAGTTCAAGTATATATTTTTAGAAAAAAAAATCTTCATGTTTTGATAGATAGCTTTGCAAGAGCTACCTTTTCTTCATTCCAATTCCTGAAAGTATATTCTGAAATTTAGAACAGATAATAACAGCCTTGTAATGTAGCCTTGAATTTGGTATGATCTGAAAGGTTTATTTTATGTAGCTCATTTAAATAACTTTAATCTACAATTTGAGAGCTATTTCAAACATTTCATCATTTCTAAGTACTTGGTTTTTGGCTTTGAGGGATGTGCATCCTTTAGCAACATACTTAATGGGAAATGAAAACAATGTCCATATGTGTGAATGTGAAGAACATCTGGAAACACCACTGAAGCAGAAAAAAAACATTTTTCTCCTGGCACAAATAACATTTTTGGAAGGTTTAGAAGGGAGAAACCAGTGTCTGTAAGAAATTAAATTTAATAGTTGGCATTGACCATGGGACTGATCATAGTAGAAATCAAGAACCAATACTCAGAGACTTCTTCCACTTTATTAAAAAAGAAAAATGGCAATTTGGTAACCTATACTTCTTATCATATATCATTATAAATACTTTTATTTTAAAAAAGAAAAAGAATATAATGTCTTTTTCTCAGTCATTTTGGTTATAGTAATCATAGCCCCAATTAAATATAGGAGCTAAAAGACTTAACATATCAACTCATTCAGATCTTAGGGACCTGCTCTGTATTTGATGGCTTGAAACTAGTTGCTAACTCTAGTCTCAATTTCTCATTAAAAAATACTTAGAAACTGTTGTAAGAATTACAGATATAAGGTTCAAGATTACATTTAGGACATTTTAAATACTATTTTTAAGATTTTTACAGTGAAATGGATACATGACCACACATTTACCCAACTTAAGAAAATTCTACAATAGGTTTCATGGTTTATTCCCTGGAATAAAAAAGTAAAACTTGGGAAAATAAGATTTGTTATCTTATTACTATTTGCATATTGATCAGTCATATATCAAATAATATGAATTTAGAGCAATGTAAATTAGAGAAAGGCAGATTTTTTTTCCTATTGAAGATAATTAAGATAAAATAAAACCTTTAGATTGCCTCTCTTATTTTTTTATTTCTTTTCTTCTTCCAGTTTCTCCCTTCTGTCATTTAAATTAATAATTTGTAGAGTGCCTATGACTCCCCTAAGAACACTTGACATACCTGAATAATGAAAATAATTTGGAAGAATGATAGGTAACAAATTGTTGAACAAACTTAAGATACCGCCAATATAGCTGATTAACTGTGTTAGATTTATAGATATTTAATAATAACTTAGTCTAAACCAGTAAGTTTAAGCTGGCCAAACTTCAACTGCCAGTATGCTCTCTGGGGAAATTCTGAGAGATGAAGTTACCCAGCTTAAACTTGCAGTATTTAAACATTGTTATTGTAAACAGAAGACTTCAAGAAGTTCTCATGGGTGTAACATCCTCCATCCTAGAGTTGCCAATCCAAAATGTAGATATTTATTTATTTATCTTGTCAAAAGCTTACAGTACAATAGAAATAAGAATAAACATAAGTTTAAATATAAGAAATAGGAACTAATAATTGGGGACAATAGGACAGAGATGGTAGGCACGATTGTGCACTTATGCACGCTCCTTACACACTTCTTAGGAATGAGGTGAGGTCAATAGAGGTTAGTTTGAGGGTAAAGGAGTGGGCGTTTGAGCAGGTGACAACAGAATCAGGGAATGAGTTCCAGGCATTGACCACTCTGTTGCTGAAATCGTACTTCCTGCAATCAAGTTTGGAGTGGTTTACATTAAGTTTGTATCTGTTGTGTGCTCTTGTATTGTTGTGGTTAAAGCTGAAATATTCATTAACTGGTAAGATGTTGTAACATATGATTTTATGTACTATGCTTAAGTCCAATCTTAGACGGCATAGTTCAAGGTTGTCTAAGCCTAGAATCTCAAGTCTGGTGGTGTAGGATATTCTGTTGCGAACTGAGGAATGTAGTACTCTTCTGGTAAAATACTTCTGGACTCGCTTAATTGTATTTATGTCTGATATATAGTGTGGGTTCCAGACAGCAGAGCTATATTCAAGTATTGGTCTAGCAAAGGTTTTGAATGCCCTAGTTTGCAAATCAGTATTACCAGAGGAAAAGCATGTAAGGCCCAACAGTTCTGCTACCAGTCCTGTTCAGACATTGGTGAGTGAGAAATGGTATATCTCTGATTCTTGAACTAATATGTATTTATCATGATTAATATCTTGATTAAGATAATGTCAACATCAAAGAAATGTACAAAGAATATCCCAAGTATTGGGATTGTATGTATGCATAAGATAAAATGTATATACAGCATCACTTAAAAAGTATAGTTTGAATGTAGGAGGTGAACAGCATAAAAAGAGATATGGACATAAAGAAAGATGGAAAGCAGAGGAAGGAAGGGATATGGAAAGATGGGATAGAACATAACCATTTAATAATACTATCATTTAAGACTGAAATAAAAGATTGTATTAGAAATTTACTTAAAAAATAAAGATTTACATCTTTAAACAGAAATATTAAAATATTCAGAATATATAAACAGTTCTGTGTTGATCTAAGCAAAGACTTTTCCTCTCCCTGTTACTTGAAGTCCTCTTTCAATGAGATGTGCCAGGAATTTAATCCAGTCTCCCATATGTTGATATCTGAGGGATGTTGGAACATCTACCAGCTATTCCAAATCAGTCAGTCATCTGAACAATCAAGACTTTCCAAGTTATTCCCACAAATTGCTCATAACTGGGTCTATACCCAGTTAGTAGGAAGTATATCCTTCCCACAAGCTAATATTTAGCTTGATTTTCAGAACAAAAGCGAGGAGCAGCCTAAGTGCCTGCTGAAGACGAGATGAATCAAGCTCTACTGAACACCAAAAGGGATGAAAAAAATATGATGCTTAATTTGTTGTAAACATAATTACTTTCATTCAGACACAAGAGAAAACAAGAAGAATTGATGTTTGCCAAACGCCGCCATCCACAGAGCTGCAAGGAGATGATTAGAAGCAGAAATAAAATCTCCCAGACGATTCAATTTCTAACTGAGATAGCATCAGCCTTCTATGTGGACTGGAAACAAAAGGCGGTAGAAGAAAGTAACTCATGTCAGAAACCTGAATAAAACGTTGCATAAATAACCAGAAAAGTAAATAAGATGGTCAAATTGATAGAGCAGCATATGATGCATAAAACATGAAAATACTGCTTCACTAGGAGATGGAAAGGGAGAATCCAGTTCTGTTTTTCTTTTTTTCCAAAACTGTGCAAAAGAGAGAGTGACAGAGAGACAGAGACAAAGACAGACAGATAGAGAGGGAGGGAGGGAGGGATGATGGAGGAAGTGGGAGGATTTGAGTGATCATGTGAATGTATGAATGTGGGCATTTTATGTATGCCTTTATTATATTTTTATATTGGTCCACAGTTTAATCCTTCTTGAGGTTATGCATGTAAGCTAAAATAATGTACAAAAATACAATATAATGCATATAATTCATTCTTTCCTTTGAGCACAGGGCCCAGCAGAGGGCTAGAGATCAGACACATTGTCTATATCAACACAGTGTCTGTTTTGCTAAAAGAGACTAATATTGTTACCCTTCTACAGCTGATACATTTTTAAAATGTATTTATCTTAATACATAATTTATTTTGAATATCCATGTATGGTAAGTTTTGAATTAAAGGTCTTGGGTGTTCTAATATAAAAAATAAAGAAGAAAGAAATAAAGTGCACCATATTTGTAACAAGAACTGTTTAGGGAAAAAAAAACATGATGGATGTTAGTATCAAACCTAGAGGTCTGCAAAAACAATCAGTGAGTTAATAAAAGGGAGGTTCTGTTATTCTTGAGGTAAACTTCTTGGATGTCTTTCAAATTATTAAGCCAGGCCAGATAGCTTTTTGCATAATGAGAACATCTTTCATGTGTCAAAACAGCTTTTCATTATACCTAAATAAGCCAAAACAGGGATATAATGATAAGGTGACCTTTACTGTAAAGTTTGGACAGTTTGAAAGTATTTTCCAGAACAGATCTACATCTGACTGCTGATAGGGAGTCATATAAAAAGGGAGATGTTTCACAACTCAAGATAGGAAGGCAGGAGGATAAGAAGGGCTGAGGATGAGGAAAAAATACTGTATCACATTTTACAAAATGCACAATAACACGGTGGTACTTAGTAATGTAGTTTTTCCTTGTTCAATTTCCACAATAATAAAAATCAATCTGAAAGCAAACATGCTTTATCTACAATTTAGTACAATCAGTTCTCAAGTCTAGTGAGATAAAATGATCTAGTGTATAATGGCTGAATGTTTCTGATGAAAAAGAAGAAAATTCTAAGAAAATCATCCCTGCCACCAGCTGCAATCAGAGGTAAGATGTCATCGGAGATGAAATGCTAAGGAAAGAGGAGGATTAGGGCCACCAGATCTGAAATTAGATTTTGTCGTACTCTGTAAACTTCAAAAATCATTATGTTAGAAGGGCCATTTATAGAATATAGGAAAACATATAAATCTAGGTTGTGGCTGAAGGCACCTTTGTGGCCTTAGCACACAAAAAAACATTTGATAGACAAAAGATAAACAAACAGATAGTTAATTTATGAGATATTAGAAGGGGATGGTAAAATAAAATTAAGAGAAGATTTAACAATGAAGAGATATACTTCTCAGTGGCTTTTTATATTATCAGAACATAACATGTAGCATTATGTTATCAATTCTCAGAAAGATTTAAAGTGAAAAAAGATTTTATGATATGGGCAATGAAATACTGATTTTGAAAGAGAACACAGTGCTAATGATGAATATGCTACTGCTAAAATGTAGAAACTTTTGTTGCAATATGAGACTGAAGAAGAACAAGTGAAAGAATGTATGCTGAAATGGGCTGAACATTTCAATTTCCATATACAAATGATAAATGAGAAGATTACAGATTACAGATTACAGACTAAGATATATGATCAAAAGGATTGAAATTTACATTAAATTCTGATCTTAAAAAGATATTTTAATAAAACAATGTATCATTGATATTTGTCACCATAGACATTGTCTGTCAAATCAAACCTTTATTACAGTCAAAAACTAACATAAAGAGCCTGGGGTACAAAAAAGCATAAAAATACAGCTAAATAAAGCTAAAAAGTATAAAAATAAAAATCTTAAAAAACTTTTAAAAGTCTTAAAGAGTGTTAAAGGAGGGGTAAGAACAATAAAGATAGAAGAATATGGCAAACTCACTCTATTATAATATAGAGAGCTCTATAAAGATTAACAAGGTGTTAATTAAAGCTGGTTTATGGCACAGTTCATCTTCTGATGGATTTTAAGTGCTGTGTGCAGAACCTGATAACACTGCATGTTATAGCAGGATTGGTATCTGAAAGCAGCATGAAAGTTTAAAATTATCTCGATAATTATACAATAGTGATGAAATGAGGGTTGTAGTAGTTTCCTATATCAGCAATCAAGCACACCTGAGAGGAGCACTAAGCACTGATCAATGGTGGATTGTCCTTCCCTAAATGCAACTTGCTCAGAAGAATTCCAAGAATATTTCCAGCCAATCTTGGAATTTCCACTGTAGGTGTCTTGCGTAGAGTTTGTTGATTTGTTAAAGGGGCTGTTGGTCTATAACTGGTAGGATTATCCATTTTCCCTTTTTATATATAGGGACAATGATCACAATCCCCAATCCTTGTGTATTTAGGCATAAGTGCTAACGCTGGTAGAGAGCAGTGTCAGGGTAGAGAGCCCCAGAAGTCCAGTTTGTTTTTAATGACTTCTGGAGGGGTAGGTGTTTCCTGGGATCTTACCTGGCTAACAAGTTTCTTGATCTCTGCAACTGTCCCTGGTGCCCACATTGACATATCTTCTATAGTTTGGCAGGAGCATCCACTTCCAACACAGTTGTCTGTGCTGACCATTTCTTTGAGGGTTTTATGTGAAATGTCAGAATGAGTCTGAGTCATTGGATATGAATGCCTGAATGAGTCATGTCCAATTCTTTTTCTTGGGTGACAGCATGCGAGGAGTTATTTGTGACATCTTTTGTTCTTGTGGAGGTCCTGTGCAGCTGATGATCTAGTACTAAATAAATAAGTCTGGTCTCAAAAGGTGGTGGGTTTTTTTTTGCATTAACCCAAACTTTGTCGAACAATGCTTGGAGTGGTGCTGTTGTTGCTTCGAAAGTACATTGTTATTACAAGTTACATGCTGGTGGAACTCTCAGATTATGGTATTATAGTTCTCCAAGAGTACACCAGGAGATTCAGCTGGTACTATATTTGATCTGACTCAGTAGCTGATGTAACTGTGGTACAATTGAAACCAGAGGTTTTTCTTTGTGGACTAATAGATAGGCAGAAAAAAGTTGTTTTTATATATGACACCTACAGCTAATTATCATTATTATTATATGCTCAAAAGTGAAAATGTTTGAAAGAAAGCTTGGTGAAGATGAGGACACTTGAAAAGATGGCTAAATTAGCTTCTTTCATTACAGGGGAAAATGCAATATCTACATTTAGATAGTGGCTGACTGGAAACCCCTTTAAAGACCTTTTGCCTGAAATAGGAAAAATGCTCTTATGATTTGTGGTTTTAATGATTAGGGAAAAATGTATAATAAAATAAAGTGAGCTTTTTTGGTAATCAAAGAGTGAGAGAGAATTTTAGCATCATACTTGCATTTGCTGCAAAAAAAGGAAACTTATTTCTATTTTTTCTTAATGTTTCTTTTTGCATTTTTGTTTCCTTTCTATATCTTTGTATCTTGGTTCTCCCTTATTCTGTATTAGTTTCTGTTAGCTTTTATGTGTTTATGTGTAGTGTTTACTATGTTTATAAATAGTTAAATCATAGTAATGCAACACAGAAAATAAGTGAAGGAAATTTAGGGAGTAAAAGACAAATATCAATTGGATTCTCATATTGTACTATGCTATGGTTTGCTTAAATGTACATTGTTGAATAAGCCAGAGTTTGCACATTCACACAATGCTTCAAGCCAAAATGAAACAAACTGGATTATAGATTAATGTTGCATATTATCTAATCAAATTATGGGTTGAATTATGGGTTTAAAGGGCACTTGTATAATTCTTGTTGCTACCTAATTATTACTCTTCAGTTGTCCTTTGTTTCTTAATGTTTTTGTGTTGCTATATTTTAAGTATGGTATCTTAAAATATCTGAAATGTACTGTAGATATTTAAATACATAAAATCCTCAGTTAAGCAGATAGGTCTAGCAGTCATTCAGGCCCAAATCTGGCCAGAGATGGAGTGATTTGTAATAGGGGTATTATTCACCTGAGAACAGCTTGTAAAATTCAGCCTAGCTTGTTCCAAACAAAATATTCGTCTGATTTGGTGGCTTTGGCACATTGTACACATAAGCCCTAGATCTGCCTCTACTTGTTTACATTTTCCTTTGCTTTAAATGCTTATGTTGTTTTCAATTTGAGTATGGCTTTTCCTCTGTTTTCTCTGGTAATGGGAATCACACATCCTTCTTCCTGTTCTTTGAGCCCTGAAGTCAGAGTGTCCACCAGCAGATGTTCAGATTTGGAGAAACAAGTTCATTATTTGCAGACAGGATTTCTTTACCAGGAACTTTGAAATGTTGTAGTTGCTACTATTTTTCAGGGCTAAATAATTAGCCTAGGAAGTGTCCAAAACTGTACTACTATGGTAGAACATGGAATTTATTTTATAGATGGAATATTTAAAAAAAATGTTCATTTGAGAGAGGAAGACAATTTAATGGGACTATTTTTTAAAAATAAAAACGTTTTTACTTTAAATTATATACATTTTGATCTTGTTCTGCTCCTTTGGGGGAAAAATACACTCAGGTAAAGATAAAGATGACTTTATAATAAGGAGAGGAGGGATGATAGACAAACATTGGGACAGTCCTTGAATCAAGAAATCTTTCTTGTGATAGAGTACCAACCAGGGGTGGAATTCAATTTTTTTAACAACCAGTTCTGTGGGTGTGGCTTAGTTGGTGGGCGTGGCTTGGTGGTCTTGTGACTGGGTGGGCATGGCTTGGTGGTCATGTTATTGGCTGGGTGTGGCCAACTCAATATCACTCACATCAAGGCATGCATCTCCTTGCCTGGCCTCTCATGACTGTGGGGAGGCTGCAACAGTTGTCAGTGTGAAAAATGGTCATAAGTCACTTTTTTCAGTGCCATTGTAACTTTGAATGGTCACTCCACACAAGCAAAGTACCAGCATAGGAGGGAAAAAAAAAACTCTAGAGAAGTTCCTGAGACAGGAAGTCTAGTCCTGCCAAGAATGTAATAAGGGTTAACGGAGAGGCAGTTTCTGTAAGCAACACCAGAATGTTTCCTTCCTACCTTCCTTACAGGATTAGGCCAGTAATTTCTTCTAACAACAGGTTCTCTGAACTGCTTAGAATGTTAAGAACTGGTTCTAGCGAATAGGTGTGAACTGGTAGAATCCCACCCCTGGTACCAACTATATGTTTGTGACCTATGTTTTTAAATGGTTCATTATTCTACAATCCTGCTATAGTGGTTTGACATCCTGGCAGCATGACTATCCTTTGACCTTAAGGCCTGAGAAAAGTTTAGTTCAGCGACTTGATTTCCCAGGGAAAAGAGATTTTTCTCAGTTCTTTCTTCAACAGCAGAGGACAGCTTGATGTGAGATCTGGAAGAAGCTAGGCAGTCTGTATAATTTATTAGAAATAAATAGCTGGACTTTACATACTCTATAATTCCTTGAGTTGTTTAAACAGCCTCTGTTTATTCTCTTACCAGACATCTGATATTATCTCCCTAATCAGTGTTTTGCAGTTTTGTGACCATTTATGGCATTAACCACCGGTATTTTCAACCCTTCACCCACCCACCACATCAGTTTCCTCATTACTTGGGAGT